CTGCGAATTCATGATTTTGTTCTTTTTTTATGGCTGCGTAGTATTCTATTGTGTATATGTACCACATTTTTTTAATCCAGTCCTCTTTTGATGGACAGTATGGTTGGTTCCAGGTTCCTGCTATTGTGAACAATGCTGCGACAAACAATACTGCGATAAACATTCCTGTACAGGTATCTTTTTGATAGAGTAATTTGAGTTCTTCAGGGTATATTCCCAGTAGGGGGATTGTAGGTTCATATGGGAGGTTGATATTTAGAGCTTTTAGGAATTGTCACACTGCTTTCCACAGAGGTTGCACTAGTTTGCACTCTCACCAACAGTGTAGAAGTGTTCCCTTTTCCCCACACCCTCTCCAGTAACTGTTATTTTTTGAGTTATTGATAATGGCCATTCTGACTGGAGTTAGGTGGTATCTCAGTGTGGTTTTGATTTGCATCTCCTTGATGATTAGTGAGGTTGAACATTTCTTCATGTGTCTGTTGGCTGCTCGGATGTCTTCCTTTGAGAAATGTCTGTTCATATCTTTTGCCCACTTTATAATGGGGTTGTTTGTTTTTTTCTTTTCAGCACATTTGAGTTCCTTATAGATCCAAGATGTTAATCTTTTGTCGGACCTGGAGTTGGCAAATACTTTTTCCCAGTCTGTGCGCTGTCTCCCTGCTCTCTTGATGGTTTCTTTGGCTTTGCAGAAGCTTGTCAGTTTAATGAGCTTGTCTATCTTATCTCTTATGGCCTGTGGGTTTCGGGTTTTGTTCAGGAATTGGATGCCAGTTCCAATTTCCAAAAGGGTATGTCCTGCATTTTCTAAGGTTCTTATGATTTGAGGTTTTACATTTAGGTCTCTGATCCATTTAGAGTTAATTTTTGTGTATGGGGACAGATAGGGGTCTTGTTTGAGTCTTCGGCATGTGGTCAGCCAGTTTTTCCCTCACCATTTACTGAACAGGTTCTCCTCTCCCCAGTGGTAGATGGTGGAGGCTTTGTCGAAGATGAGTTGGTTGAGAAATTGAGGTTTGCTTCTGGAATCTCAATTCTATTCCTTTGGTCTACATGCCTGTTTTTGTACCAATACCAAGCTGTTTTGATTATTGTAGATTTATAGTAAAGTTGAAGTCTGGTAATGTGATACACTGCTTTGTTTTTTTTGCTGAGGATTGTTCTGACTATTCTTGGTCGTTTGTGTTTCCATGTGAATTCCTGTATTGTTTTTTCTAGGTCTGAAAAGAATGTCGCTGGTAATTTGATGGGTATTACATTAAATCTGTAGATTGCCTTAGGTAGGATCACAATGTTGATTCTTCCAATCCATGAACATGGGATATTTTCCACTTGTTTGTGTCATCTTTGATTTCTTTGAACAGTGTTTTGTAGTTTTCATTGTAAAGGTCTTTCACGTCTCTGGTTAGGAAGATGCCAAGGTATTTCAATTTTTTTTGTGGCTATTGTGAATGGAATTGTGTTTTTATTTGGGTTTCTGTTTGTTTATTATTGGTGTAAAGAAATGTGATTGTCTTTTGTACATTTACTTTATATCCTGAGACTTTGCCAAAGTCCTTTATCAGTGTAAGGAGTTTTTTGACAGGTTCTCTTGGGTTTTCAAGGTACACGATCTTGTCATCTGCAAAGAGAGATAACTTGACTTCCTCTTTTCCTATTTGGATACCCCTGATTACCTTCTCTTCTCTGATTGCTCTAGCCAGGACTTCTAATACTATATTGAACAGGAGGGGAGAGAGTGGGCATCCTTGTCTTGTTCCAGTTTTCAGGGGAAATGGTTCCAATTTTTGTCCATTTAAGGGTATGCTGGCTGTGGGTTTCTTGTAGATGGCTTTAACTATTTTGAGGTATGTTCCCCATATACCTCGATGTTCGAGGGTTTTTATCAAGAAGGGGCACTGGATTTTATCAAAAGCTTTTTCTGCATCTAATGAGATAATCATGTGGTTTTTGTTTTGACATCTGTTGATATATTTAATTACATTTATGGTTTTACGAATGTTGAACCAGCCTTGCATCCCAGGGATGAAGCCTACTTGGTCATGATGGATGATTTTTGAGATGTGTTGTTGAATCCGGTTTGCTAGGATCTTGTTGAGAATTTTAGCATCTATGTTCATTAAAGATATTGGCCTGTAGTTCTCTTTTTTTGTTGGGTCTTTACCTGGTTTGGGTATCAATGTGATGTTAGTTTCGTAAAATGATTTGGGAAGGGTTCCATCTTTCTCAATCACCTGAAATAGCTTCAGTAGGATTGGAATCAGCTCCTCCTTAAATGTCTTGTAGAATTCTGCTGGAAAGCC